ATTTAGGCGTATACTGTTCCATCATTTGCAGGATGTCTGGCCAGTTATGAGGAATGTTAGCCAATGCAGGTTTCCTCAATCTAACAAGCGATTGAATGGTTGTGGAAACCTGATAAATCACCCATCTAATCGTCACTGTTTTCCCATGTTTGTAACTATTTCTTCTCTTCTACAGCTCCCACATAATGATGGCAGGAAGTGCTTGAAAAATTGGCTGCAATCTTGATATTACTGTNACTTCTAGATATTCTTAAATGACCCAAGGAACATTCCACAATCCTTCTATAGTGTTCTTCAAGAGTAGCGAATCTGTTTGCAAAATAATTCTATTGTATCCTTTCTCCTCACAGTATTTTAGAGCTTCCAAAATTGCCAATGCCTCTGCCTCATTGTTTGTTGTGTCATGTATCACCTTTCCACATGCATACTTTATATTGCCTTCATCATCTCGAAGTGCATATCCAATTGAGCTCCTGCTCGGATTTCCCCTCGATGCCCCATCGCAGTTAACTTTAATCCATCCTTGTGTTGGTAATTCCCACAAGACTTTAGTAACCTTCAATTTAGGCGTGTACTATTCCATCATTTGCAGGATGTCTGGCCAGTTATGAGGAATGTTAGCCACTGTAGGTTTCCTCAATCTAACAAGCGATTGAATGGTTGTGGAAACCTGATAAATCACCCGTCTAATCGTCATTGTTTCCCCATGTTTGTAACTATTTCTTCTCTTCCACAGCTCCCACATAATGATGGCAGGAAGTGCTTGAAAAATTGGCTGCAATCTTGATATTACTGTAAGTGTCCAGCACTTTACAATTACCTGGTGCATAGACAGTCCCTCTATTTTAATTCCAGCATGCATTAGGAAGTATGACCACACTTTTTTCACAGCAAACGAAGTAAAGAAAAGGTGCTGTAACGTTTCTTCTCCTGGTTGCACACAGCACCAGCATCGAGAAGGCATTGCGTATCCCATTTTCTTCATATGGTCGTCTAGGGGTAGTTTTGCTTTCCATACTTTCCACATAAAGAACGATATCTTGAATGGTAATCCTTTTACCCACATCTTTATGTATGCTGCCCCCGTGTCCTTTCTCTGCCTTAAATACTCCCACGCTGATTTCACTGAAAAAATTCCTCCATTCTCAAGGCACCAGTAAGGTACGTCNTGGATCTCTCTTCTCTCCTGTTTCTGTCACTCTTTTTTTTTCTTTTTTTTTCTCAATATTTTTCTTTTTTTTCTTCTTTTTTTTTTTTGTTTATTTTTCACTCAGTGTGTTTATGTCTATGATAGAATCCGATAGGGATTGCTTACGTATCATGACATCGCATGAATCAGATCATTACGTAGTTCAGGAAAACAAGGAATAAAGTAAACAAACTAACTCTCGTTTTTTTACTCATATACAAATAACTCCAGGAAAGCTCCTACCAAGAAAAATATTTTGGATATTTTTTTTGTAGAAAGAAAGGCTTCAAAAGAAAGAATTTTTTTTGGATTTAATTTTTTTATTGAATTCTTGAAAGAAAGACTTTTTAAAAAGATATTTTTCTTTTTTTTTTAAAGTTTTTTTTTGAAATTTTTGAAAGAAAAACTTCTAAAGAAGAAATAAAATATTTTTGAATTTTTTGAAAATTTTTCCTTTCGATGGTGAAGGAAAAAAAATATTTTGGAATTCAATCCTTTTTTTTGGAATTTTTGGAAGAAGTATTTTTTTAATTTATTTTTGAAAGAAATTATTATTTATTTATTTTTTTTGATTTTTTTTTAAATTTCTCAGGAAATATTTCTAAGAAGGAATTAAGGAAAAGGAGAATATGTTTGGATTTTTCTTTTTTTTTTTTTTTTTTTAAAATTGGGGG